CTTTCCCCAAGTTCACGTCATGGTAAAGTTTGTCCTGCTCTCCTGGGCTTCAGAGTGAGAGTTTGATTCCCACCTCCCCCAGTAAAGCTAAAAACAGATTTGAGGGCACCAGGGTAGGAGGGAAAGATGGTTGGTTCCCACTTGTGACAATTGGTGACTCATTGGTCTCCTTTTCTTTCTGAAAAAGGATGAACACTGGCGTGGAGAAGCACTCCGTGAGAGACTGCGTCACCATGAAGATCAACTCAAGGTTGCCTCTTAAAAAAAAAGAGAGAAAGCCCCTAGGAGATAGTTGGCACTTGGCAAGAGTAGGGAAAAGGTTTCCATGTCCAGTCTACTGCAGCACTCAAGAGGACGCTTATGGATCACACTATAGAGGTTCAGAGAGCTGACATCACAGATAGCAAATGGCTGTCAGCATTCAAGGCCATTTGGATTCTAGAGCATTGGATATATAGCCCAGTGGCACAGCACTTGTCTAACACATGCAAGGCACTGGGTCAGTCTAGAACCTTGATGTCAAGTTGTGTTCTTTAACCTCTATAATGCTGTTCCTTGAGACAGGGTCTTTCTGTGTACCCTAGACCGTCCCTAGAACTAGAGTAGCCTTGAACTTTCCCCAGTACAAGGATTGGTGATTACTGCCATGCCCTACCCTCATTCCTGTTTATTAAAGTCAGACTTGCTTATCAAATGTGAAGAAGCTGAGTAAGTTCAGGAGTGTTTCTTTCATGTAAACCCCACATCTGATAACACTTTCCAGGCTCAACTTCGACACTGTATGTCTAAGCAAGCAGAAGTATTGATCAAAGGACAGCAGCAGACAGAGGGCACCTTACACAGTCTGAGGAGACAAGTTGATGCTTTAGGAGAACTGGTCACTTGTACCTCTGTAGACTCAGCTTCATCACCCAGTCTGTCTCATCTAGAGTCTTCCCTTGTGGAGGACTCCCAACATGGACATAGTCAGGTAAGAGGAAGCTCTAGAGTCTAGAGTTACCTGGAATACTTGGAAACTTTGGGGTAGGTGGTCCAAGAAGACTTGGGATTGAAGTGCCACCCTCAACTGTTTCAGCAAAAAAACTGAATCTGCCATCACTGGGGAAAGTACCTGGTCTATAGGTAAAGAATAGGTAAGCTGGTAGCTTAGACACTGAATTAGAATTGGAGATAGGATGACCCAGGAGAGATTTAGTGTTTGTGTCCTCAACCTCTGGATTTATTTTCTACTTGATCAGAATAGAGTTTAGACCTTCAGGGTTAGAGAGATGGTCGAGCAGTTAAGGGCACTTGGAGCCTGACGGAGATTAAGTTCCTAGCACTCCTGTGGCAGCTCACAATCATGTGTTTGGTTTCAAAGGACCTGCCACCCTTTTCTCCACAAGCACCAGGCACCGGAACAGTGCAGACATACCCATGCAGGCAAAACAGCCATGTGCATTTAAAGGAAGGAAGAGCTTAGACCTGTGAGGTTAAATGTGGGTTTCCCTGGGGTTTAAGTGGTGCCTCTCATTCCTCAAAGACATTTGAATGCAGACTTCTTCACTTCCTGTCTATAAAACTCTGGACCTCACAAAGGTTTCTGTGTGGGACTTAGTTACACTCATTTAATAGAAAAAGTAACCCATGGAACTGGCGAACAGTAATACCTTATTGTGAGCAGAAAATGGCTTCCATTTTCAGGTGCTTACTCTATGTAGATACTAAACACTATACATACAACACCCCATTCAGAAAGGTACAAATTGTCCCTTTATGTAGGTAATAACTACCGGAAATTGTAAATAACAGGTCAAGGGTATAGCAAAGGACAGATCAAGATACAGAAGCCAACCTACCTTTACCAGAAAGCAGTGGATCCTCAGTATACTGTAACCACAAGGAATATCCAAGGACAGTTTTGTAGTGAGAATTTTAGTTTCTTTAAATACAGGAATATGGTTTTGATCTCTGGTATGGGATATGAAGCTGCTCTCATGCTGTAGCAGGGGGTGTGATTTTGCCAGCTGCAGATAGTTTCCACAAGTATATGGAATTCTGGGGACTCTTGAAAGGGTATATAAATGCTAGAGCCCCGAGGGGCATTTGCTCCTGCTGGTTAGCCAGTTGGTGGTTGGTTGCTGTTGGTTAAGTGTGTAAAAAAGTCGAGAAGAAATGAGATATCCTGACTGCAAAGATCAAACTTGCCCCAGGAAACTCAACACCCCGGATCAGCAGAATAATAATATCGACGCCCCTCGAATCCTCTCTCCTGCCTAGTGTTGGGAGATTGAAAGAGTGGAAGAGGGGTGGAGAAGGGTAGTAGAAAAAGGAACTCACTTCATAGTCACGTTTGGATGGCTACACAGTTGCTCCCTTGGTTGGCCTGAGGGGCAAATGGCTTACCTGAGGCACAAAAACCTAATGAGCAGCAGTAGGGCTAAGATTTTAATAGGGTTACCTTACACCTGTGGTTGAGACAAGTCTGGTAAAGGCCCAGACCACATGGCCCTCCGGAGCTTAAGTCTGTAAGGCAATGGGCATAGAGCCCATACATGAGCCTTGGAGGTACTCTATATCAGAGGCACAAATGAGTTGTAAGCAGTTTCAGTCTGGGGTTGTCATCTGGGCCACTGTGACATGAAGCCTTGAATTGGGTTAGGATTGGGGGCTAGCTTCTGTGCCTAAAATTAGTTCCCTTCTTTTCAGAGCGCCTTCCAAGTTCTGCAAGTTCCATTAGAACCAAACAGTTACCGCCACTGAGTTTCCTGCTCACAGGTACGTTAGCCACCGGCACTTAATTAAAAGATCTGGAATTCTGGCAGCCCCAGGAAAATTAACATCATCCTTCATCATTTTTATCAGTTTATTTTAAAAGCATTTTGAGGGCTGGAGCTATGACATAATAATAGTGCACTTGCCTAGCATATGTATGTCCCCAGATTCAATCCCCAGCACTCCAAAACAAAGCAGTCCTTAAGCATAGTATTTTGTCAGTCATCACACTACTACCACATTCTCTAAAGTCTTGTCCAGTTGGAGGTTTAATTCATCCATTCTGCTCTGTCTTACTGTAGGAAAGAAGCTCCAGCCAAGGTCAGGAATATGGTCTTGTGTAACCGTAAGAGGAAATCGCTACTCTCCTACCTCACTGACATCCTAATGGAATGTCAATGTTACTCTCCAGATCCTGTGAAGACTGAAAGTACATTGCAGTACCATTTAAAGAGGTTTCTGTAAATCACATGTACTTGTGGGACTAGATGTGTGTATCTAACATAGGATGTAAGGGACTATTTTTGACTTTTTTCCTCTAATCTTGGAATATTTTTATAAAGCCAGTGAAACCACATATACTGAGTCCATAACTGGTATGTCTAGTTACCATGAAAAAGAATGTACTAAAAGCCCCTAGGCTTATTAATAAGTTATTATTTTTTATTCTGATCCAAAATTTATTTTTAATATGAAAATAAAAGGTACAGTCAACTTGGGTCTGTTGTCTGACTTTACATTTCACAGGTTACCTTTATTCCAATAACAATAACAATATCCCAGCCATTTAACACTTTTTACCTGGTCTACTTAGTGCTTCATCACAAGTACCTAGTAAGAAATCATCACACTTAGTCTGCTTTTCCTTAGCCTACTAAAATAGTAATTCTTTGGTGGAAAATGTCAAGACTATACTGTAGAGACTCCGCTCTGGTGGTGAGTGTATTTATAGACCACCTTTAAGCATTCAGCTCTATGACTGGTCCATTTCTTTAGAAGCAAGAGCAATTGCCACAGCTTTGTGGCTCTAACAGTCACAATGATATGGACTATGTTGACTAGAGAGCCCTTTAAGACAGTCAGCATTGTAGCATGTCGGCCCAGCCCAGCCCAGCCGTCCCTCACTATAGCTGTCTGGCTAGAGTTACAGGATGCATATAATAGACATACAAGAGACAACAGAAGTCACACCACTTATTGCACATTATCTAGAAGGCATGCATTTCCAACACAAAATTTGTCTTTTGTATTCTTTTATTTCTCAAACTCGGAAATCCGCCTGCCTCTGCCTCCCAAGTGCTGGGATTAAAGGTGTGTGCCACCACTGCCCGGGTCTTTTGTATTCTTATACTTTGACTTTGTCCTTGCAAAATGTTTAAAGTATGGACTAACAGCAATTATTGACACAGTATGGGAACAGGACCTAATGAAGGTGAGGTAGTCTTTCATATTCCCGTATCAATTTTCATCTCTACTACCACATAAGTGGTAATGGAAATTACCTGGTCTGTCTTTTCTGTTTATGGTGAGGGAACTAGACCATTTATTTTATAAGGCCACATTTAAAGCAGTTCTCAAAACTGACCTTTCAAAACACCTGATTTCAAAAACTACCTTTCCACAGCTGGGGGATGCTTGCTTAGTATATGCGTAGTCCTGGGTTTTACCCAGCACACACACCAAAAACTTGCCAGTTCCAGAAGACATCTAAAAAACACTTGTATAGCCTTTACTAGTACCATGTAACTAACCACCACCAACTAACTCCCTCTAGCCATGTCATCGAACATTTCATTCAGAAAAAACAACTACACATTGTGTTGGAGTACTAGGTACCACCAGAGGGGCTCTTCCACAGCAAAAGCAGAGTGAGAAAGCTAGAGGCGTCTGCACAATGCCAAGCTCTTGTGTTAAAAATGAACACAAATCTACTCTGCCTAGTCCTGGCTCACAGATGCTGCAACATGACAATCTGCTTCTTTAAGCTCCCAAATTTATTACACAGTGGTTGTTACACATGCGAATAGAATTTGGCCCCACATACAGAAAAGGGAGAACACTATTAGCCACCAATGTGCTGGGCTCAAAAATGCAATATACATGGATTAAACTCCAGCTAAAATTGGTAATTTTACTGCTACCCAGACCTCACTTCACCAAACACTAAGCGTAATGCTGTAGTAAAAACCGATAGTTCAAATATTCACCTGAAAAAAGTCTTACAGTTCAAAAATAATGCAACTCCGTTCAATTTAATCTAGATACAGGTACTTTATTTACAAATATTTAGATAATAGCATTTTGTTACATCAAATGAAGAGTACAGCAGTCTGAATAAATCCTTCTGTCACAAAAACAATTAAGACCCACTGTTACTTTGGGAATTGGGGTATTGCACCTAAACAAGCTGAAGGTCTTTACTTTGTGATTGCTACCTTATATCCCGATGGGTGATTTGTTTTGTTTTGTAAATATATACACACACCAGCAGGTCATGGTCCCTGGGCGAATCCTTTGTGATACAACAGTGTAAGCAAATGGATCACTCTAAGTCTTTAACAGAATATACCAGTCTATTCCAAGATTCCTTTAAGTTAAGCAAGGACAAAAAGGTGAATCCGCAAAAAAAAAAAAAGAACCCTATTTTCTGCACATTCCAGTTTTGCTTTTATTTAACATTGACTATACAAAACTCTGGAACTACCACATGTTTATAATCCAGAAGATGTTCTTTTACATTAGTGTCTGGTAAAGAGGGATTTAAAATGTGTATTTTAAACACAGCGTTGAGCTGAGAACATTTTATATAATGTGCTCGGGCTTACCTACGTGCACTTCCAATGACCTCTCAATTCCCAGCCACTTTAAACTTAGCTAGAAACCAACCAAGAGATGGGAAGAACTCAGTGAAGCAGATGTTGCCTAGAGATCTATTTCTCTTGTAAGGTGTTGTTCTTTCCGTGGCCAGACCACCAGTGCAAAGTAGTAACTTACATTAAGTCAGCACACACATTTAGAAACACCTTCCCTTTTACAAAATAATTTATGCCAACATGACATAAAATAGCCCCTCATACTATGAACACAAAGGATAACAGTAATTATTTCACTGTAGTGTTAAAAATGCACAATTTAAAATCCCTTAACAGCAGACCTGTGGTTCTGGCTATCTGGTCCAGAAGTTGACCATTCCAAGATAAAGGTATAAAAGCTTAAAATGTGCAATATTAAATCCAGCCTTCTTCCTTTTCCTATACAGTAAGGCAAGAATGCAGCCTGTAACACAAAATGTTTACAAAAAGAAAAGCAGGTGAGCACACTGATTACAGAAGAACAGTTAAGAAAATCAGCAGGTATGCCACAGTGCAAAGATGGAATAGAATCCGCTAGTGTTTCTGCTGATGCCAGGAGCTCTTTCCAGCATTTTGTCTGTCCCCAAACACTGCCAGCACCAAGGAGTGGAGCCAGTATTACTTGTGAACTGCAGTTGTGTCTATTTCCTTGTGTGAAATGGGAGAGTAACATGGTCACATATAGGTCACACTGTACAAACTGGTATTTTATACTGTTCCAATGCCAGTAATCAATTTACTTTCTTCATTAAAATAATATACACAGAAGGTATTGTTAGTTAGGTTCCTTCAAATTTTATACATATTTACTTTCTGTTAAAGAGAAAAGGATAAAATAGTGTAAAAATTAAAAAAAAGATAAAGCTATTAATTAAGCACAAGAAAAGATAAATGGGTATTTTTCCCTGTGCAAGGCTAAGACAGAAGCAAACCTCATCAAGGAAAATGCCACCCTTACAACAGGGAATTTATCCAACAAAAACAAAAGCAGTTGCAGACCCCTTTTCTCTACCATCCAAAGTCATTTCACAGCAATGAACTTACTGGCTACAACAGACATACTCAACAGTTGAAAGATGGGAGAAAGGCTGAAAAGATCAAATTTAAACCGTACAGTGAGACAAAGCCTTGCCAAAAGGGAAGGTAAAAATCAGGTCCAGCATCAGTGTTCAGTTTAAATCATATATTGGTGACAAACCTATCACAAGGACAATCAAAGGGGAAAAGTCTAGATTTACCATGCAGGAGAGATTTATTACTCTACTTGCCTTTGATAACCTGATTACATCTAGTTGTTTAGCAGTTTAGTATTGTTAAACTGTTTTTACAAGAGTTGTTTTTTCTTTTTTTAATTAAACCCAGTAAGATGTACAGAAGACAAGGAGGCAGTAAAAAGTACTGCTTCCAACAGACAGAGGTGAAAGGTCAAAGAGGGGCCCGAGCAAAGAGGTCACTAGCAGCCACAGCCTTCTCTCTGGGGTTGGGGTTCACTGGTTAGTCGTCCTCCCTGCGGGGCTGAGGGTTTGTGTTGTACACCAGACTCGGCAGCATTCAGATCCAGGCTTCCATCCTGAATGTTCTGATAGATTTTCTTGGCAGCCTCAAGAAAAGCATCTTCTACATTCTCTCCCCTAAGAGACAATCAACAACTTTATTCCCAAAGCACAGCCTTCTAGAAAATTTAAGGCATTCACACTGACCTGCTAACCTCAGTGAACTGCCATGATGTTTTCCACTTAGCCACTGCCATCTACTAAGAGATTACCAGAAGACTGAGCTAAGAGAACAACACAGGAAATGTTTTTGGTATCAAGTACACAACCCAGTACTGAGCTGTTTCTAAAATCAATTTGCATATTTACATCTTTGACTCACTGCAGTGCTGTTAATGTATTACATGACAACTGAGATAGCCACTCTGAAATGTGAAAGCAGGTTCTCCAAATGTACCAACAGGATTCCAGGCTTCCATTATTTTATAAACAGCCATGTATAAAACTATGCTATCTTTATCATGTGATGTCGACATAGTCATGTTTAACCATGTCACAGCTCTGTTCTCTTGGGACTAAGAGCAGAGGTAAATAAACCTGAACAGGTTGGGCCTGTCCTTGCCTGGTGCGATACAGAACTATGACTGGGAGTGCTGGGATCAATGCTGAACTCCAAGGACAATCAGGAAATGTTCACTGTGCCTCATTAGCCACTGAGTATGTATGTCCTTGAATCATTCTTTAAGGTGATCGTAAATGCTGTGTGAACATGTTGGCCAAGTGCATGTTCAAGATACCAAACTCAACCTCAGGTGTGAGAGTCAAACACTTGTGAGATGTCAGCACAGTTCCTTTGTTAACCTGGGTTCCCAGGGGACACAATGAGGTACAACCCTCTAAGTAGCAAAGGTTCCCGTTCTCTTGTAATGTGAAACAGGCTTCTGCTCATGCTCTACCTGCGGTGGGTGCTGTCCATGGCCTCACTATACAGCACAGTTCATATCATGTCTACATCATCCACTTACACAGCACAGGATTCTACTCTGCATGGAACTAAAACATGATCTACATTTTAGCCATACTTACGTTTTTGCACTTGCTTCAAGGAACAATAAACCTAAAAATAAAATTCAGACTAAAATTAGGACATTGCACAGAGTCAGGAGCACTCTAGTCACATGTGAGTAGGCCCCACAGCTGTCAGTCAGTCCTCCTCCACCAGCCCTTATGAAGGAGCACCTGTCTGAGGTACGGGGCAGGTCTGTACCTGTCATTCAGTAGCTGCACTACTACTAACATGTATCATAGAAACAAACACTTTATTTCCTTATTGAGATTTCTGAATAGAACAGAAGTTTTTTTAAGAAAAAATATTATCAAATAACCTGCATGATCTAAACCTCCTTTCCCTTAAACTCCCATAGAGTTAAGTCTTAAACCCACCGTTTTCTTCGGCAAACTGTTTGGCTTCTTCATAGGTAACATCTCTCTGTGCTTCCAAATCTGCTTTATTTCCTATGAGAATTATTACCTAATTTGTGAACAAAAGAAACGGTATCTTAGAACAAAAATACCTATGAAGATTTTCAAATACAAAAGTCGAGACAGGAAAAAAATGAACCCTAAGTACCCTGGACTACAGAGCATAAGGCAAGAGCACTAAGAAGGACTCTGGCAACAAGCTGGCTTGGGGTCTGACAACCTGCTGTAAGGAAGAGAAAGTGTATTTCAGATTTGTGGAACCCACACAGTTTTGCTGAATAGTATTTTTATTATTGTCATAAATCCCTTAAAAATAGAAAAGTCATTTCTTAGGTGAATACGGCTCACAAGCCAGTTTGTTCTTATCTGGTCTAGGCCAAAAGAATAAACAAGATGAATAAGAATGCCCTAAAATTGGGTGCAAGGTACTGTAACCATAAACACTCCCTGGAGAAGGCTTGTAGTTTTCAGGTTCTCAAAAGATTCTGGGACCCCGAGGAAATTTGAAAACCACTAGTTTAATTCACTCAGGGTAACAGTAATTACATTCCCCTTAAATTCAAATAAGACAGAGTTAGCAAAGAGGGCATTAGAACCCTAGAGAATGCAAACTGTGACCTAGAGAAATACTGTCCTAGCTGATGCTATCCCAGGAGAGGTGTAAATTTGCTATGTCTGTCTGTGAAAGAAGCTGGGGATAGGATAACTACACAATAGGTTGAAATCTTGGGACAAGTATCACACTCCGTCATCTACTTTGGAATCACCTATGCAAGTAAAGTTGTTCAAAGACTAAAGGTAGCCTTAGAAAACAAAGGGGTTTTGGCTGTTATTTAAGGCACAAAGGGGGAAGATATCAGCCCCTTTTTTACCTTGCTGCTCCTTTTAACCAGATACAGATGTTAGAAATTAATGATTTCAACAAAACAGTGCTTCCCAACTTTTTTTTCCACATAAAATTAGTACTTGTCTCTTTCATTTCAAATATTTGGGTCCAGTGAACTAATCATATTTCCATATAAGTTAAATGGTATAAGAAAAAAAAAATTCTTCAAAGTGCAGGTGACTACTGACAAGGGAAAATAATGTTCATAGTTAATTTGAACAGTAAAATAATGGCACTTTAAAAAAAATCAAGCCTAGTTATTAGGGTCATTATAAGACTGGTATTCAAATCCAGAAATACTGGCTTCTAGACTGGAGTGTGGGCAGAGCATTTGCCTAGCAGGCACACAGCTATGGCTTTAGTCTCCAGCACTCCACTATACCACTACCCTCTTCAAAAAGAAGTATTTTCTCTTTCCCAACTATGTATCACTCTCCAGTCTTCACTGCCTAACCCCCTAAGAGGCAGTCTGGTAACAAAGTAGCACAAAGCATTAACAAATGAAAAATACATACTTTTTCCATAAAAACAAAAGGCAATTTCATAGAAAGCATAAAGTGCACATCGAAGAACATTTTAAAAATTCTTTAGTAACTCACAGGGCCACATTACACTGTCAAAAAACTAACATTGGTACAATTACCGCCCTAAGATAGCCATTTTTTTTTCCCAAAAAAATGGCTGTGCAGTGTTACCAGCTGTCACCTCAATCTGGGCTCAGACATCATCACCAAGAAATTGCTACTGCTGTTTCTTCACAGCTCTCTCAGCCATCTACCTTATCACTAACCAGCCCTTGGTGATCACTAGTTCTTTATCTCTCTACAGTACTGTCATTTTGAAATACATCAATAGAATCATAGAATATATAAGCATTTAAGACTCAGTAAAATTCTCTTAAGATTCATCAGAGCTGATGGTGTTACCATAATTCTTTCTTTAGTGTGGCTGAATAGTTCACCGTAGTGGGGGATGCATGCAACCAAACTGTTTTTGCTATTTACATGTCTGTGGTAGCTACACTGCTATTGGTTTTTAGTTATCACAAATAAAGCTGTTATGAATATTTATCCATAGGTCTCTATGCACAGCAGCATTGAGCTTAGTATAAATGAAAATGAAAGCTCTAGGCTCCACACTAGCAAAACAGGTCTCTTACCACTCATCCTAGTTTACTGGACCAGGCCTCTTACCAAGTGCGGGAGGTACAAAGCTAAGTCAAACACTGTTCTTGCAACACCCTCCAGGATGCCCACTGACACCGATGCTTGTAAAGCTGGCTTCTCCAGAAGGCCCTGCTCGACTGTGGTCACTATCACTGAACCATTCACCACATTTCTAATTCATCATTCAGGTAGTTTTATAGCTTCTCTCTAAACATGAAGGTTCTCTCTGCTAGACAATAATCCACTGAGGACCAGAGACACATGCTTATCTTTGCATACTGTGAAATCTAGCATGATAGCTGTCCTTTAACATCTCAGTATCTTTTCCATCTTGTTAAGAAGTTAATTACTTAAGTATATAGAATACTTACTTTTAGTTGACATTTTATTCAGATAATTACAAATTCACATGCAACTGTAAAAAATCAAAAAGAGCCCTTGCACAGTTTTGCCCAGTTTCCTCCGATGGTAATATTTTACAAACTAAATCTAAGCTTTTAAATTTATAATTTCAGATTATAATAACTCCAACTGAGAGCACCACCTCATTCGTGGCTTTTTTTTTTTTTAGACCCAAACATAAAAAGTATAATAAAAATAGAAAAGCTAGAAGCAATCAAAACTAAGAGTTTTCTTCAATTAGCCTAAGAATAAAATAAAAATACTAGGGGCTGGCGATGTAGCTTCATGTCAGATTATCTGCCTAGCGTACATGGGGCCTGGATCTCTAGGATCAAAGAAAATATGAATGCAACAAATAAATGAGTAAGTGAGAGAATGAGGGAATGAGAGGTCTCTTATTCATAGCACCCAGATCACAAAGTCTCACCAGTACAAGGCCTGCCTGTCTGGGTTAGCCGATTTTAAATCTCTATACAGTTAGGTATTGACTTACAGTGTTTGGATTGGTGAGATTCCTTGCGTCTGTCAACCAGCTGCTTAAGTGGTTATATGTACTTCTTCTGCAAAAGTTAAAATTAAAATGTGTTGATTCTACATAAAATTGCCATTTGTTCAGAATAACAACAACAAAAAATAACCAGGGGTGATGTGCCTTACACATGTAATCCCAGCAACTCAAAGGCTAAGGTAGGGCACAAGAGTCCTGAATGTGAACCATCATGGCCCTAAGTGAATTCCTTGTACTATGGTTTGTACTACAGTCTCAAAAACAAATAAACAAATAAACATATAAATCTATACATACATAAACAGACTTTAATTGAAAGATCGATCCTACTATGTGTATTTCTGCTTTGACCAGATGGCTACTCCAAAGAAGAACTATAAACAGAACCAACATATTTCTCAAAACTCTAGCCAAACTTTGTTTTGTGTTCTAAAACAAGGTCTCCCTCTGTAGTTCAAGCCATCTTCCCTCTCTTAATGTAGCCAACTTTCTCTCCCATGTCTTGGATTACAGGTGTGTGCCATCATACCTGGCCACAGACTCATTATTTTTAAATAGCTCAATATCCAACTATATTAATGATATCAGAAGTATTTAAAGCGCGCGCACACACACACACACACCCCAATATTCAAGCAAGGAACACAGACTATTTAGAACCAAGATTTGCAGTTTAGAGTCAAAACTAACATTCCTTGAAATTATCCAAATTTTCTAATCACAAATTGGAAAACAGTACCAAACTGTTTACTGCTTACTCAAGGGAAAAAATATTTTTGCATCTACCTTCAAGTTACAATTTTTAGTCAAAAATAAAAGACAGACATACTAAATTAGTACATAATTCATCTTTCCTAAATTGTTCTTTTACTTTCTTTTTTCCTTTTTTTTAATGTTTCCCAGGCCAGCCACCAACTTGTGATCTTCCTCCCTCTACCTCCTAAATGCTAGAATTACAGGCATATGAAACCATGGCCAGATTACTACTTTGGACTGAGTTAATACACAGATTAAAAACTGCGTTAAAAAAAGCATTTAATGCGTTCATCTAGAAATTCAGGATCTCAGCTACAAGAAAGCTTGTATCTTGTAACTCTTATTTGCATGGCGCTTAAAACATCTGGAGAATCATCAGACTAAGGCATTTTTCCACTTTATCCGAGCAAATTTAAAAGCATGGTGTCATCTGCACTAGTCCAGTTGACTCTAACACAACAATCAATCCACACAGACAGGCTCTGGGTTAGGATGGCTCAGCTGTCTACTTCTTGACTTCACGATACATTCTGACTGGCAAAACAACTGACATCATAAGCTTCGTTATCAATTTGGGAAAGTGCCTTGTAACAATTACAGCTGATGCTTAAGATAAAAAGTATTATTAAAATGGGAACTTATAAGTTGCAAAATGTTAAGGATTGACAGAAATAATTGGTAGAAAATAGTGTCATTACTCTACCAGCAACCTGTGACTATGAACTGTCTAAAGTCACCTAGGAACCTAACATCCAAAGTACTTTTTTTCAGTAAATATTGAAATAAAATGAATCACCATAAACCCTTTAAAAATACAGTTTACTTTTAGTATCATTACTATCAAATGCTAGAACATTCACAGGACCCACAAAAGAGAAATTTTGTGCCTAACTGCCATGCTCTTGCAATCTTCCTGCCTATTCTAGATAAATATACAGAATCACATGTGGCCTTTACACTTACATATAGTATGTATCAGTCATCCTTTTTACAGCTCAAAAACAGTTCATTGTGTGGATATGCCACCTGATGTGTATCCATTCCTTTAGCTGATGGACATTTCTGCTGTTTCCATATGAAGTGCTTGAATACACTTGAATACACATAAATTTTACCACAATATTACTATACTTAAAAGATATGTTTAAAAACAAAATAAATTGCATTTTAAGCACACATCATATTTAAGTGTATTGGTAATGTATGTGACCTTTAATTACATTAAGTGTTCAGTAATAACTCATAATGAGGCAGAGTTCCGTACAACAGACAAGTTTATTGTCCCTCCGTAAGACCATTTACTGATCATGTTACCAACTGCCCAGTACAGTGAAGAAAACTAAGACTTATTTTACTGTTTGCTGAGAAGTTACTGAGGCTTTATGTATATGATTATACACAGTCCCTATAAATATTCTAAAGGCAGCAATTTCAAGAGTGTGTCAAAGTCAGAGAAGTTAACAAGGGGCTCCTTTCCTGTGCACGGCTCAGGTTCTCTGGCTCTTCAAAATGAAACAGCATAAAGCTTTTTCTCAATATCAATCTCCCGCTGTCACTTGGTCCCACTCACTTATCTCTATCTCCTAAGGAGGAACTCTTCTTAGGGATGCTTCTGGCTGACACTGCATCATGATGAAAGGCAACTGGTTCATTTTTATCTTACAGCAGAGAACTGTTCAGGTCTAGTAAGTAGCAGTTTGGCTACATGCACCAAAGTCAAACCTTTATCTTCCTGTTTTGTGACTTCATGTCAAATGTTCTGAGTTTCCAGAAAGAGCCATGTTGTCATGAATGAATCCTGATGCAGTGTTTTAAGTCGCTTCAATCCATGGTAGAAAAATGAATTTAAGTAAATGAATAATTACTCAAACATTATACATAACCAACACCAAAATGTCAAAAAAGTCAACTTATCAAAAAAAGAACCTTTTGCTGGCCTACAGAGGAAAACACAGGATCTGTTTCAGTCTATCGTGCTTCCAAGGAGACTAAATATTTCACTCCTCACTGCTCCTATTGACAGACGGTGTCAATTTTAACACAGATTGAATACAACAATTCCTCAGCACTGGCTTGCCTTCCCTGAAGTGAAAGTTTCATCACATAAAGCCACCTCTCTGCAAACAACTAATTCAGCTCCCCAGACTGTGTTCTTCTTTTAGGTCACCATTATCTCATGGTCTCTAACCAACTTCCAGGGAAGATCAGCATGTTATTTAAGTTTTTCAAGCTTTAGAGTACAAATATAAAACCCAAATAAATTTATAGATATCCAATTACAAACTAAAGGAGGCCCAAATCAATAAAAAAGAAACCATTCTGCCCAAAGTAGTGGTCTACTCCAAAGCGGGACATCATCTTACCTGGTGATGTCATACACCATGAGAGCACCCGCAGCTCCTCTATAGTAGCTCCGTGTAACAGCTCTGAACCGCTCCTGTCCTGCTGTATCCCAAATCTGCAGTTTGATTTTTTGGCCACTAACTTCAATTATTCTTGTACCAAATTCAACACCAATTGTGTGAGGACAATCAGCCATAACTGTTGGAGATGAGAAAATAGCCAAATTTTAGAATACTTGTGTAGAAAGCAGCACAAAAATGCCATGTTCTCAATTATATTTTGCTTATCAATTAAAACATATTGGCCTCTTTCTCCACCACCCACGATAAGAATTGTATTTTAAACTTTAGCCAGTGATAAAGAGAGAAAAAATCCTCAAAACTAATTATGGTGAATAAATGAAACACACAGAGAAAATGTTTCTTAAGATAATACATTTTGGAGGTAGGGAGCTGGAGAGAGATCATGGTAGTTACGAACATTATTTGCTGTCCTTCCAGAGGACCATAATCTAGTTCCCTGCACCACCTACACTGAACAATTCCCAACTGCCTATAACTTTCAGCTCCAGAGAATCCAACACCCTCTTCTGGCCTCTGTGTATACCAACCCATAAGTAATGTATACATTCATATATATCTACATGCATGATCACACACACACACACAAGTTGATTTAAAAGATGCATATTTAAAGTAAAAAAGGGGGGAGTTATTTAAATTTAACATTCTATACTTTTTGGAGGCAGAGACAAGTGGATCTCTGTGAATACCAAGACACCCAGAGCTACGCAGAAATCCTGTCTCAAAAAAACAAAATAAGTAAACAAATCAAAACAACCTGCCATAATGGTACACATCTTTAATCCCAACATTCAGGAGGCAGATCTCTTTGAGTCTGAGGACAATTTAGTCTACATAGTCAAGTCCAGGTCTGCCAGAGCTATACAGTGAGACCCTGTCTTTATTTATTTATAAGTAAACAAACAAATAACCAAGGTGAATCATACATCATAAATTTTTTTAAAAAAATTAACAATTTAACTGGCAATAATAATGTATTTTATCTGCACTTATTAAAAAATCCATTGCCCTTGGGTCTGGAGAAATGATTCAGCAGTTAAAAGTATGTACTGATCTTGCAGAAGACCCAAGTTTGGTTTCCAGCAGCACATCCAGTTGGCTCACAACCACCTGTAACTCAGTCCAACTCCTGAGGATCTGCTGTTTCTGGCCCCTAAGGGCACTTGCACTCACATGTATATAACCCTACAAGCACACACACAAACACATACACTTAAAAATAAATCTTTAAAAACAATCTAGAAAAATAATCATGGCACTTTAAAAACTCAAGTGTAAATATAGACAGGTTATAATGAAATGCATAAAATACACTAAAAATAGTGCTTTTTAAACGTAGAGAATGTGACAACAAAGTAAGCTACTCATCTTTTTTACCTTTCATATTGAACTTACACTTTTTTTCTGTAAATTGATGAAGCAAGCAAGATTTTCCTACTCCCATATCCCCTGTTTAAAAAAAGAAGATGTTTCAGATGGCAATTCTGTTTCTCAGTTTTACACGTATGATCCTATACAATGACTGCTGCATAGCAGCCTATCATGTACACCACAAGCTTCTCAACACTCGGAGTACCTGCATCTTCCTTTACTATGAATTCAAATGAAAAACTGCGCACTTCTAACTTTTAGCAGGATAGAATTTGGCTGTAAATTACTGTTTAGTAAATAGCCAACAAGCTGAACAGGACTTGTAACAGAAAAATTACTGTGGTGAGATTTTTTTAAAATTTGAACTGTTTCCAAGTAGGTATCCAAAGTGCATGTATTGGTCTATGCAGATGAACTATTACAAAAGCAAACAAAAATAAATAAATTAAAATTTGGAAACTTGGCTCACTACATTTGTTGTTTTACCCCTACATTACAATAGATGCCATCTCACAAAGCTATACAAACTTGACATCAAAGCAAAAGACATGACCTTTCTTTTCTTTTTTAAAATTTATTTACAGGTTGTTGTGTTTTGTTTTCCATTGTAGAGATCAAACACAAGCCCACAACCAGGATAAGCTTGTAAGAACTCTTCCACTAGTCTGCAACTCAGCACAGCATCTGGGCTTTTACCTGTTATTTACAACCATTCATAGATAAATGCATTAAGACAATTTGAACAAGGTCTTGACATTTAAGAACAAAACTATTCGTGTGTGTGTGTGTGTGTGTGTGTGTGTGTGCGCGCGCGTGTATCCCAACCAATTCTGAATTGGTGTTCTTTACCTATTTTGGAATTCAAGAGGACCTTTTATGACACTGGGATATTTCGGCACTAGCAGGAAATTAATTTTATAACCCCAACAATAACAAGGTGGCCCTGAAGAACAACCACCATCATTTCACTGGTGCCCAGAGACTAGATAAGTACCCAGGGCCATGATGGAAAAGGCTATCTTGATATGTATCTTCATCAAAAACTTTGGTTCTGAAGTCAATAAAAGCATGCACTTCTGCAACAGTATGTTTAGGTACTGATATATAAATGTTTCATGTGTTAACTCTCTTTGGAGGACAAGCATACACATTAAATAAACTTACCAATAATAATATATTTAAAGATGTAAGAGTAGTTGTACGGTGCAGTTGCCATGGTGGCACTAAAAACAAAGAAAACTATGTTACTTCAGAAAACAGTTCACAAGTTATAGAAACCTATTACTACTGCCCTTTCCAAAGGCAGAGCAGAAAATATTACAAACATTCATACACATACATACATATATAGATTTTTTTATCATCTACAGAGTGAGTTCCAGGACAGCCAGGGCTCTACAGAGAAACACTGTCTCGAAAAACAAACAAACAAACAAACAAAAAGCAATCTTAGCCGGGCAGTGGTGGCACATGCCTTTAATCCCAGCACTTGGGAGGCAGAGGCAGGTGGATTTTTGAGTTTGAGGCCAGCCTGGTCTACAGAGTGAGTTCCAGGACAGCCCGGGCTATAAAGAGAAACCCTGTCTCAAAACAAAAAAAAAAATTATATCACATATATTAAGAAAACACATTGACTACACAGAGAAAATTTTGATCTAAGTCAGTAAAATTCCCAAACTGATCACAAACTCTCTTGAATGTTACTTTAATATTCTCAAGTGATCCACAAAAATGAAAAAAAAAATTGTTTCAAAACACGTCAAAGTTTTACACTAGGAAATATCAAAAAAAAAAAAGTTATTCTGGAACTCTTTCAAAGAAGAAAATCTTTATGAATTTAAAGTCAAACATCATTAAATAATTCCTTCTCCCTTTAAGGTCCTTTTCCTTGTTAACTGATCAAGTAAGTTATGGTATCAAAAGTAATCACTAACACAATACAAAAATAACTTTCTCCTCTAGTTTAAATCAATACTAAGCAAAGACTCTAAAGTCTAGAACAAACATGAAATCCAAATCAAACTGTCATCAAAATTAGATTTTATCACATAAAACTGTTGTTCCTATAGATTTTTAAAAAGGAGAACGTAATTAGCAATTTCATATGGCTCAACTTAATACAGTATTAAATTATTAAAAACACATGAATTAAAAACACATGAATTGAGTTCTGTATACTATTCTAGGGGGAAAAAATGCTATAAAGCTGTCCTCACACTTATGAAATCCAAAAGCTTACATATAAAGATACTTCCAAAGATCACAGCCTAATCCTTAGACATCAGGTAGACTTAACCTAAGAAAAATCCCAATTTCTTTCCTAAACTTTCAATCTCACAAGCACAATTAAACACGTTAATCCTGGCTGATACTTAGGAGACTGAAGGATTGTTTGAATCCAGGATTTTATGGTCAGCATGGACAATACAGAGACTTATGTCTCAACAACAATAATCTTCCCAAATAATTCACATGCTGTATGTTTCATGTGTTAACTTTCTTTGGAGGACAAGCATACACATTAAATAAATAAACTTAACCAATAATAATATACTTAAAGACATAAGAGTAGCTGTGTCTCAATGTGTCTAACCCTGTGCTAGGTTCTAGAGAAAAACATCCTAATATGGATAATAATATCTAATGAACTTATTTTTCACCAGTTTTCAGCTAAGGAAAGACAAAAATCATACATACCAAGACTTACTAACTGATCAAAAATGTGTGCTTTCTAGTGTTTTAATGAATATTGTGTGATAACTTTATGCTATATTTCAAATAAAATTTCAACAATAAAACTGAATCTACAGGCAGAATATCTGCAATAGGTGAAGAATCAAGGAAAAAGAAATCCTTAAATACAGAAAACTAAAGAGCACATCATATAATTACAGTCACCTTACTTTGCTGTACCGACAACAGTCAACACAAGTCCATGCCTTGCTCTCAATGCACCCAGCATGTTGTGACACATCTATAATCAGTTCTTCACATCACAGAAAACTCCCTTAACCAGTTCTTTCAGGAGTTTTTCTAGTTGGATCAGCTAGGATCCTAGACATGGTAACTCTTACCTCTTTTCCAGCTATTACTGGGACTCAAAGTTTAAAATTAACTTGGCCTTAAGCTAGGCAGTGAAGCGGCACATGCCTTTAATCCTAGCACTCAGGAGGCAGAGGCAGGAGGATCTCGAGTTCAAGGCCAGCATGGTCTTACAGAGTGACTTCCAGGATAGCCAGGGCTACACAGACACACAGAGAAACCCGTCTCAAACAAACAAACAAAATAACCCACAACAACTTAGCCTCAAGGTTAAACTTGATTTAAATTATTTACCAGGTCTCTGAACCAGTTACTTACAAGCGGCAGAAGGAACCCTCGAATTGACTAATTTTCAAGATTATTAAATTTCTAACATGTATTAATTTCTCTTCTGTATGGAAACAGTACGTTCTTTTCCTCAAATTTTCCTTAAATTAGTTTTAATTCTTAAAACTCCTTTCCAAAGTAATCATTTGTAAATTAGTTTTCTTGCATTCTTCCTCTTGATTTTCCTATTTTCTTCCCATCTTTTGACTAAAATTTTGTGTACATACTTTGCTTCCTTATGTTAAAATCCAGCACTAAGGAGACAGAGGCAGGCAGATCTCTGCGAGTTTGAGACCAGCCTCCTACTCTGTATAGTGAGTTCCAGGACAACCAGGCCTATGCAGAGAGACCTTGTTATAGATAGAAGATGGATGGATGGAAGGCTGGATGGATGGGCAGGTGACAAACAAGTAAATAGATAAATAAAATTACAGGGCTTATGGTGTATCTTAGTGTTGAATGCATGCTTAGCATGCACAAGGCCCTAGCTTTAAGCCCCAACACACAACACCCAAAAATCATGGCCTTTAAACAGTCCCAAAGTCAACAACTTCAAGTGTTCTAGGAGCAATTGTGAAATTATAATTCAATTCTACTTGGGCTAACTGTATACATAGTAGTTGTCACATATGGCATCCTCTAAAATATCATCTACAATGATGAATTTTGAGATATATTTTAAATAATAAGCTAGTAGTTTTCTAAATAATCACTATTTCAGGATGAACACTGATACTGTTTTTACTTCACCACAATAATTTTTTTGGTTCAAGTTTCTTTTATAACTACAAATAATAACCCTAAAAGAATAAACAGCGAAGGAGACAGTGCTGGGGATGTACCTCAGTTGATAAGTGTTTGACTAGCTTGTACCAAGACCCAGCTTCACACATAAACTAGACCTGGTGGCATAGGCCTGTAACCTAGCACTCAGGAAAAACCATCAGTCCAGAAGTTTGAGATCATTCTTGGCTACATGTTAAGTTGAGGATAGCCTTAGCTACATGAGACATTGTCTCAAAAGCAAACAAAGTCATATGCAAGGGGCTCCTTTTTGAACAAAGTAATGAATGCCATTGATAGAGTGAAAAAAATATTTTTGCCTAGCTTTGGAAAGAGAAAAAATATTCCTCTGTTATTTAAGGGCAAGTTTGTTTTAAAAGCTCAAAGGTCAAAAAAAGGCAGAGGGTGGGGGATGTGAGCAGGAAACGCTGGTTAGTTCACACTGAAGGCACAAGTCACTCAACACTGCAGTTTATCTGCTGATTTAAAAAAAGAGCTTAGCAATATTCTATAACTTATGTAATTGAAATGCATTTTCTTCCCATTTTGTTTTGTGAAATAGGGTCTCTCTTTTTTTTTTTTGGTTTGATTTTTCGAGACAGGGTTTCTCTGTGTAGCCCTGGCTGTCCTGGAACTCACTCTGTAGACCAGGCTAGCCTCAAACCACCACTGCCCGAAATAGGGTCTCATTATATCATCCCAGCTTGCCAGAGACTCACTACACCATCCATTTATAATACTCCTGCCTCAGCCTCTTGAGTCTGTGACTACAGGAAGTGCCACCCTTTGTTCCATTTTTTTTTTTTAATAAAAATTACTTGGATAAAATTGACATAAGATCTCCTTTAATGCCTTTGATTTTTTTAAAAGAAAAACAAAGGGATTGCTGCATTTAAGAAAACAAGGATGAACAATTTGTAAATTAGTAACACAAATGCTATAGTTTCCATTTTGGGACACTTAATAAGTACCAGGCAGTACTGAAGTGCCACTGACTGCTGTCCTTCTAAGACAACTACTAAGTTCCTCATTTTACAAAAGAGGAAATGATCTCAAAGGAAAGCAGTGTGTCTAGCTCAGGCAGTTTGGACCAAGTCTATACTGTATCCAGCACAGCTAACAACACAAATTCGCTGTAACAAACAGCACCATCCTGCCTCCTCCAGGTGATGTTTTAAGGCACAGACCTTTCACTCCTTTGCTTCTAATTTAACACTCTGAATAAGAAATATTAAACAATTACATTTGGAGTATACACAAATTTAAGAAACAACCATAAATAATTGGTAATGTTGATTTATTATTTATCCACAGTAACAATAAGGAACACTTGAGACTAAATCATACAATGATCTGTGTTACTTATACTAACACTAATACCTAAACTAATTCTTAATTCCTACAACTCTGCAAAGCTATTATTTTCATGCAAAAATTGAAGAACTTGAGATTTGGAGAAATTCACTACCTCAGTCAATGCTCAAAGTTAGTAAATGGCCAACCTAGAACTGGAGCCTTCTGATTCCAAAGAGCATATAATGCTCTCTACTTAACTAATTATTGAAGACATGAAAGGTGGACACATAACTGTCTTTGGCTATCAAAAGAAACCTTCACAAAATGACCTATAAGCACTGATAATTGTTGCACTATGTAATCAAGTGGCCAATTTTAAATATTAAGCACCCTTAATGTTGCTTTAACAAAGGATTTTTCTACTTTATCTTAGTATGAAACATACCTATGTTAATGAGTTATATAAGCTTTATTTAAAGACAGAACATACCAATTGTATAAAACATGCAACATGTTCTTTTCAGTTAATGAAATCATGGACATATTCCTGAGTCAATATATCTATATCTAAATGGTTACTAAACATGCCAGTCATTGTCAGGTCAAACAAAATCAGATCTCTTCCTGAATAAGATTATATAAATGAGTTTTAATTCTTTTAAAAAGATGTATTTTATGAGTATGAACATTTCGCCTACATGTAGAGTATATGCTCTTTGTCAGGTCCCCTAAAACTGGAGTCATGGATGGTTGTAAGCCACCATGGGCATACTAAGACTCAAACCTGGGGCAGCTATAAGAGCAGTGGCTTTTATCCACAGAACCATCTCTCCAGCCCCAAATGACTAGTTCTAAAGGTGCTAGTAGAGGCCTCAGAGTAAAAAACAAAGCACCTACTAAAAGGTGTTTTCTCAGGCTTATATTTTAACTTCTATGTGTTTGTTTATACACTGTCATTCATTGTTTAAAGCTATTGTAGTCTATTCTTCAGATCACTACATAATCTTTACATAACTAATTCAATAGCAAGGGAAAAGCAACCCACTAAATACTCCTGGTGACCTAAAGTCTTAATGTTGCTCTTCAGTTTTAGGGTTTTTATATATGTATTTTGTTATAAACACTTGAGACAAGACTACTTTTGTGATTAAACACCAACAACATGAAAATATTCCATATCTACCAAGCACAAACCATTATGGAAGGTTTTAACAATAATCAAAAAAGGGAGTAAGATTGTCTCTATCTTCGTGTAACTAAGAACTCATCCTTGCTTAGAGGCCCCTGAACTCGAATGCTATGCTACATGTCAGTCAGGTGGACAGAAAACTCCCAGAGTTAATCTAATAATCTAATCAAAATGGTCAATTTTCTTTCCATAATAGAAATACAACCTTGCAAAACAACCTATCCATTTCTGAGACCAAATTTTCATAACTCATTTAAGGTTATACTTTTGTGTAAATTAATGTAAATAAAGAATTTAAAATACAAGATTGCTTAACAATGTCTAAAGAGAAAGACAAAATCTTCCCACTAATGATAGTGAATAAGAATGCTACGAGTAAGAAATAAAGACTCCAAATCTGTGTTCTGATTTCCATAAAAATATTTAACAAAAAACCCCAATGCACTTGAAAGGATTAGTAAAAGTTTACTAATGATATGTCAGAGATCCAGATGAGTATGGGAGGAGCACTGTAGAGACAGACCAGGACTGTTCATTGCAAACACTGATCAGTAATATACTATTAATGCTCACTATACTGATGCTTTATTTTGCAAACTTTAAAACGTTTGAAATATAGTATCTCTTATTAATAATAATAATTTGTCTCCTGCCATACTTTTAAAATACTTTAGAACATTTTTGTGTATGACTGTATGTGTAGGCATACATGTAGATATTAGAGAGAATAACTAGCATGAAGCCATTCTCTCCTTTTACTGGGTGGGTTCCAGAATCTAACTCTGGTTGTCAAGCACAGCAGCAAAAGAATTTACCTGCTGAGCCATCTTGCCAGGCGCACATGCTAACATTTTTAATAACATAAACACCTCCAGATCTATATAGTTTGAACATGTTTTATCTTACATATCTTGCTAAGAGTATGCAAATAAGACCTATAAAAACTGGCTACAAGAAATTTTCAAGCTCTGTTGCAAAGCTTAAGTTTACAAATATAAAATTTCACATGAAAAATAGCAGAATGTTTTTTTAAAAAAAGCCTTAATTCCAAGGAATTTTCAGTATCAATTAGAATCTAAGGTTTTTACATCTTTACAATAACTCCACTTACCAAGCCCCTAATATAAGCTAGCTACTTTATAAACAATGTCTAATCCTAAAAATTCATTTCACAAATAAGGAAACCATGTCAGAAGTGATACACTGATGGTTATATACTACTAAGTGGGCAGATAAGATTAAGCCAGAGACTACTTCGACAGTACTTGTTCAACAATTAATCACCCATTATATGGCTAGCAAAACTACAAGCTTTTAGATGCCAAACCTGAGCTTTCTTTAAATTCTAGTTAATCCTTGAAATAACTCTGAAATGTGGGCACAATTTATAAGGACACTGAGTCTGGGAGGTTGGCTAACTTGGTTAGGGTCAATTAAGTAACTAGGAAGTGTCTGTACGGTTCGGACGATTTTACTTGGCCACACATGAAAGCGTGTAGGTTGTTTTGGAGTCCCAATGCCTTGGGTTCTTACTCTGGCACTGCTATTTCCTAGTTACACAGAATTCCCGAGAAACTTCCCTGCTGAAGGGAAGGGAGAAGAGGGAACTGCATTATTACTGGGTCAAATTTGTTCTCAATAATCACATTTTACATAAAAGGTAATTGAAACAACATGCCATGACCAGTAAACTTTCCAAGAGTTTCTAACACTTGGCTGTGCAGCCACCAAGAATACAGCTTTCTTCATAAATAAACAGGAAATTCTACCACCACCTCTCCTCCAAAGAGCATTTGCCAGAGTAGCAGCTGATAATGATAAATTTTGGGTCTTATCAGTTATCACCCAGTGTGAATAGAGAAAAAATGGAACTCAGTTGTCACTTCTCTGAATCGACACAGTATTGTGTGTCTCAGCCCTCGTGGAATGTACTGTAGTACAAAACATACCAGCCAGAATGGGGAGAAGCCAGTTTGTGTTCCATCATTACTCAGCTACAGGACAACTTCTGGCTTCGGTCTGTCCCCCGCCCCTTATTTAAAAAAAAAAGGGGAAAATTCTCAAAAGCAAGCTATGTGTGAAGACACCTAAACCCGTGCCTGGCACACACGGGAGGTTTAGCATTCCCATTCCATCATCTTGTCTCAAATTCTCGAGATGCCCAAACTTTTTTCCATCGCTATTTCTAGATGCTGTGTAGGTTCTAACCCGTGCAGGCTGGCCAGGGACTTTACAGGGATTCAGAGAACCTCGCGAACAGTCCCACACACCCAGTCCTCAGCCGGGACTACAGAGCGGTTGCTTACAAGGACACGGGAGCCAGCCCGAGATGCCAAAGCGCTGCCTTTTGTAAGATGAGGCCCTGTAGGGTGGGACTGCCATGGCTGGGGCTCGTGGGCGGCAGGACGGCGCGACACGCGTGGGGAAACACTGCGGGGGTGGTCTGCAGCCGCGGGCAAAGGCGGCGAGACCCGGGGCTTCGGAGGCCGCGGTTGTGCCCCGCAGGCCGGACAGATGAGGTGAGAACACACCCTCCCCGCACGCCTCGGAGTGAGGCTGCGGGCAGAGAGCGCGAGCCGGCCGGGGCAGCGCGGGCGACAGCTCGCCCCGCAGAGTCCTGTCAGGACGGCGCCCTCCGCCGACCCTCGGGCTGGCCGCGGCCTGCGGGGCCAGCCCGGGACGCCGCCCGTCTACCTCTCGGCTCGCCTCCGCCCCTTGGAAGGGCCGGGCTGGGAGGCCGGCTCCGGGCAGCCCCTGCGGAAGGCCTTGGTTACCTGGGGGGTTGCTGGTGGCTGGGCAGCTTTCCGGACGGGAGGGGGACGTCAGGACGAGGAAGCAGAGGGCGGACGCGGCGGGAGGGCGGCCGGAATCCGTCGGCCAAGGCCCTGGTAGGAAGGCGGGCTGGCCTGAGGTTGCAGACACTCGGGCGGCAGTCGCGGTGGTGGCGGCGGCTGCTCCTGCGGCTCCCTCAGGATCTTCCTCGGGCTGGCCCAAGATGGCGGCGCTCCCTGCACAGGGTTTCCTGTCACCCTCGCAATGGGCCGGACCACAAAAGAAGGGGGGAGGATGCGCGCGCAGCCAGCGGAGCCCGGAAGAGGGTGGCGGAGACCGATCCGACAGCCACGCCCCTTCCTCAGTTCGCCCCTCTGGAGTAGACCCGCCTCGCCCTCGGCCCGCCCCACTGGTCCTCACGCCTGAAGAGGGCGGGGAAAGGGGTCTGCGCAAGCGCAGTCGTGTGCCACGCCTCCCGACGGAGTTACTGCGCAAGTTCGCACGCTGTTTTCTAAGGGTTGACAATGTCCAGAATTGTCGCAGTTGGACACTTAACTATTTTTAATACGCATAAGTTATATTTTTAATACGCATAACTGCTTCTCACTGGGACGCTTCTGTATGCCTGTCTCTGGGACACTGTGTCCTTTAACAATTATTAGAGACTAGCAGGAACAAGGCTGGCCAACACCCAGAGAAGCTTCTCCTCGTGCCATCAGAGGCGAAAGAGTGGCTCACACTGACCAACCCACTTGTATAATTATGTCGCTAGGAGGTGGCCTTTTCTGTCTTGTGTTTCATCTTTTGTCTAGCCTAACCTTGCTTTCCGGACACCAGCAACAGGAAAGGGAAACTTGTCATTTTTATTGTTTGGCCACCACTCCCACCTGCCCAAGACACCTTGGTGAAAGCAACAGTTTCACTTTCTTGGTCTTAAGTCTTTTTGCCTTGTAGAACCTGGATGTGGGTTTATTTATTTTACATTTACTTTTAATTTGTATTTTATAATTACATTGCCACAAGAATGGATATGTTAATAACGTATAACAAGGCATTTTCTTCAGCATAGAAGTTGATTTTTTTCTCCTGATTGTTTTGGAGGGATGGGGTGGGGTGAGATTCGATACCAGATTTCAATGTATACCTCTGGCTGTCGTGAAACTCACTATGTGAATCAAGCTGCAGCTGGCCTCTAACTTGCAGAGATCTGCCAGCCTCCACATCCTCAAGTGCTGAGATTAAAAGCATGCACCACCAAACCCAGGTTTTTCTCCGTGGTTTTAAAGGATTTTGAAATACGTCTTGTGTGTCTCTGAAGGGCCTATGGACTGTAACCATTATCCCTACCATGTATAATAGATAAAATGTTTCCGGAACCCACAAAGAAAAGTCGAAGTTCTAACCATTTAAAACCTTTCGTTGTAAACTGGTTCTGCCTCAGGGAAGTGAGATGTCATTGGAAAAATACATAGCAGTTTTAAAATCTCTTGTTTTAATAAATACATGATACAGACATCATTTTTACACACATCATTTAATTTCTCAGGTCCTCAATCTTTTCTCCCAAGTAAATATGTGATATCTAATTCTTATGGGTCCTTGTTAAAATTAAATAGACAATACATACAAAATTCCTGGCATATAATAATTTGAGTGAGGACAGTTATTATATGGTAAGCATAAGGTGCTCTCTCCCAATCCTGGAATCAGTGGTTTAGTTCATTGTGGTGGTTTAAATAAGAATGGGCTGATAAGACAAATGTAGGACAGAAATTGGTACCATGAACTGCAGTTCTGCTCTGACAGGCCTGATCATTCCATCTGTTGGAGGAATATGGAAGACTTTGGGACTTTGGACTAGAAAAGTGTCTGGAGATTTTAAGTGGGGCTTAATGTTCCATCCTGTAGGAACATGGAAGACAGTGCTGAGGACAATTTGAACTCAAGAAGTTTCAGAGGGGAAGAAGGAGTGGCCTAGAGTCCATCCTTGTGATATTTTGAAAAAGAATGTGACCACTTTGTCCTAAAAGTTTCCTGGAAGAAAAATGAAGAATTAATGGATTAATGGCCTTGGAAGAGGAGATTTCAAGACAGCCTAGTGTTGGCTGTGTCACCTGGTTACTAGTGGTCACTCTTACTTAGATCTACAATGAAAGGCAAGTGGGGCAGATGGAAATACAGAATGCACAATCGGAGCACCAGGATTTGTAATGGAGCTAAGAGCTAAGTCCAGTGCTCTAGATAAAGTTTAAAGAAAAGCCTGATGCTAAATGGAATAAGGGAGTGGTGGCCTCAGGGGAAGACCCCACCCAGCTAAGCTTCCGGTTTGTCAAAAGGAATTAAAGAAAAGTTTAGGCAATGAAGGAAACCATAGAAAGCAGAAAGCTAGTGAAATGTTCCAGCCCCAGCAAATAGAAGATCTAGGCAGCTTCAGCCACGTGGTTCTGGCTTTAGAGTCAAGGATACAAGAAATGGATTGTGTAATCTTCCTCTGTGGCTAAGAAAAGCCACTGAAGCCAGGTGTGTGTCAGGGATGTCTCTGCGTGGAGGCCCAGAGAGACCACTGAGTGAAGCTGTGAGAGTGAAGCCTGGATTGCCTTGGAGGCCCCAAGATGTTGGAAATACCTGGCAAGGAAAGCTGCAGACTGGATATGGAACCAGCCCAAAAGTGAAGTCTGTTGCAGTCAACAAAGCTAAAAGGAGATGGAGATCTGGAGAGCACTTTGACATCAGACATAGAGATGCAGGATTTGAAGTTTGCCCTGCTGATTTTCAATCTTGCTTTGGTCCAGTATTTCTTCACTATGCTTCCTTTTCTCTTTTGGAATGGTAAAGCATGTTCTGTGCCATCATATATTGGAAGTATGTGACCTGCTTTTTATTTTTGATTTTTCAGGAGATTACAGTTAAGAGATTGCCATGAGTCTTAGTAGAGACTTTGGACTTTTAAACAGTGTTGATACTGTTATAGACTATGGGGACTTTTGAAATTGGACTGAATGCATGTTTACATTATGACATGACTACAAACCTATGGCCAGGGAGTGGAACTGTTTGAAGGGATTAGAAGGATTAAAGCTGTGGCCCTGTTGGAATAGGTTTGGTCTTATGGAAGAAGTGTGCCACTAAGGGTGGATTTTGCGGTTTCAAAAGCCCAGTCCCCAGTATGCCTAAGGAACAGGACACAGCTCTCAGATACTGCTCTCACACAGGCCTAGATGCCACCATACTCCCTGCCATGATGATAGCAGACTATACCTCTAGAACTGTAAGGAAACCTCAATTAAATGCTTCCTTTTATAAGAGTTGCCTTGGTCATGATGTCTCTTCACAGCAATGGGCAATGACTAAGACACTTTATACTTATGTACGTACTTTGAATTTTTTTAAAATAAGAAATTTCTAGGCAGTCGAAGAACACTTACCCACTATGTTCCAGAATGTGAATTCCATCTTAAACACTGCAAAAGATTAAAAAAAAATTTTGTTTTGATACTGCCTTGGTAACTAAAGGAGAAAACTGAGCACCACATGTCATTGCTTGCTCAGGGATGAATTTGTACCTAACCAGAAAGTTTCTATCTGTTACCTGAAATGAAACCTTTTGGTGTTATTGAAAAATTATTACATACCAAGAACTATCCGAAAGTCATTTTCTTACTCAGTTTCTGTAAGCTTTTTTAGTTTTTAATTGTAAGTATATGAATGATTTGTCTGTATGTCTGTGCACCATGTGCATGCTGATGTCCACAGAGGTAAAAAGGCACCAGACTCCCTGGAATGGTTGGAGTTATAGATGGTTACGAGCCACCATGTGCATTCTGGGAATGGAACAGGTTCTCTGCAAGAACACATGCTCTTAACATTTGAGCCATCTCTCCAGTTCCATTCTTAATTAATTTCTAAAACAGCTCTATGAATTCATCACTGTATCCATCCCCTTTTCAGATGAAAATGTGTAATGTCGTATAGGTGTAAAAGTAAAAATTGTCATATAGGTAAAAATTGGCAGTGCTAACACAGGAGCCTGGCAGGACAGGACTTCAGAGTTCCTGCTCTGAGTTCTACCCTGTAGCTCTTCCTTAACTGTGCTTGGCCATCCGGACTGCAGCTTAGTGGATCATTTTGAAGTAGCACTGGACAGAAACATTGTTGCAAATGAGGAGTGCCAGGGTTACATGCTAAACAAAGAAATTATGGATCATCATAAAGTTATTTGTTTAACAGATCCTAGAATTTCTAAAGTTAAGGCCCAATGTAACTGATTGCTGTATAATCAAGGGCTGTCTTGCCAAACATCTGTCAGCACTTCCAATTAATTCTTTTAAAACACTGTTTATATGTAATGAAAGATATACACACAATATTTATCGGGGCACAGTAATAGCAAAGGACCAGAGACAAAAATAGATACATGTTACAGTAACTTATAGTACATCCATATTGTAGACTATTATGAAGCTCTTTAAAAAGGTGACTCACTTATGTAATAGACATTGGGAAGCATCTTTTCTGTTGTCTTAGAACTACTGCTATGGCCAATCTAAAAACAAAAGTCCCCAACGAGTCCATATTTTACACGCAAAGAGCCATCAGTGGCTGGAACTATGTACTGTCTAGCAAGGGATTTGAACATCTATTATTCAAGATGTTTCCAGGAAGCTCCCACCTCTACTCCACTGCTTCTCAATCCCTTTCCCCACTCATTGATGCTATGCACAGATACATACCATTAGCACTACTCAGTGGAAAGATGGGCTGGAGAGATGACAGGGACATCGGTCTCCATGGAAAATGGGGAGGGGCTCTCCTTCCACTCACCTCATAGGGTCCCATATCCCCTTCTAGAGTTAAGAGAAGAGCTCCAACTCATCAATGACAGAGTGTGCCTGTAGCAAGAGGGGACTGGCCATCATAGGATATCTGCTCAGGCAGCAGACTTAACTGATCCAGTCTGCCCAATTGCTGTCTGCACTAGTGGAGGGAGTCAGCCTAGCAGGAGCTTGTGGGACAAGAGGGAAAAGCGTAGAGGACGAACAACTTAAACTGCTTGCATCTCTCCTGCCTTACTTCCCAATCCCACAATTGGATGTTATCAGAGAGTCAAGGCAGAAACAGTGCAACCCACAGTCATCTGTACAATATAGCAGATACATGGGGGTCACCAGCTCCCAGGGGAGGCATCGAGGACCCCCTTGATACTGAACCATTGCCATGCCCACCTGATCCTGTTTCACTGTTCTTTATGTATTTTTTTAATGTACTTTTTCCCTAAGGAAAAAAATATTTTATTCTGTATCTCATTTCAGAACATAAAAAAAAAATTAGAGTCATTTTCAGATCTACCATGTTTATTAAACCAA